TTACATTCTTCTGCTCCCTTAATTATGTATATCTTTGCCTTAACAAACCTTAAAAAAAGATTTCAGATGTTACAAGTCTAATTAAAGAGACAGACAAAGCACAGTTTATACTGTAGATTTTTTCTGCAGTTCAATTAATCAGCATGTTTTCTCTTTTAATTAAAACCATTTTAGTAAATTAAAGCCCACAGCAAAACACATATATAATTTGTTTGTAATTAGCTCTTAATTGGTGGTAGTTGAAGCTTAGCACCCTTGGTTTCTTTCTTCATGATTGCCATTTTATTAGCAGCCAGTCATTAATTAATCTTTTTTTCTAATTAGCTTATAAAACTGTTGATGGCACATTATTGTAAATGTGATTTTAAGTTCAAAGCTTGTTAATAAGCTTTCTTACTTAGAAGAACAGAGATAAAGAAATTGCTGAAAACAGTACTACAGTTCTTTTTTTAAAACTGCCTTTCTTATAAGGGGGCTGTGTAAAGCATCTAACAGCTTATGGTTAATTTTTTAATGCTGTGTTTTCTCATGAATGGAGGAAGTTACTTGCATTTAAATGTTTAATTCTAGCAAAGAGCTTAATATTAGAAGAGTTTTCTGTCCTTGCTCCATTACTGTGTCATCCAAATACAATTTGATGCTGTAATACACAGCATAAAAATACTACAAAGGTATTACAAAGTATTTTACAGTGGAAGTTGAGCACATCATTGAAAGGGGACAATTTTCACTGCAAAATCCACTCGGTATTCTTGTTTGCTTTATATATTTTATATACGTCAGCAATGGATAACATTCCATAACATAAAAGGAGAAAATCATTGCTAAAGGCAAGCCTGAAATAACCAGATTCATATTTGATGAGGAACGGTAACACTGCATTAAAAGGCTGTTTGGCTTCTCTGCTGTGATCACAGGATATTTCAGGACCTGTTTGAATAGAGATGTTTTGTTGGAGCTTCTGTAGGTTTCGGATTTTGTATATAATACCTAAATATTTCTGGAGCAGCTCTTGAATCTGTTGTCTCATCACCGGTATCATTCAGCGTTTCCTTGTAACACAGAGCGCTGTCTTAATGAGAAGTCTTTGCTTTATGCCATTTCGTGTTAAATGTCCTGATTTTTCAAGGAAGTTTTCTGGAAGTTACAGTAGATTCTGTGGCGACTTAATACAAATGTTTACTCTTCTGCCTGAACTTTGCATACTATTTCAACTTCAGCCGTGGCTTTGCTTGTTTTAGAAGTGTTTTATGATGCTGTGCAAGAAACACTAGAAAGGGATAGCTGACAAGGAAAAAATTAAAAATTGGATAAAAAGTAAATGAATAATGTCATATTACTAAAAAGATGAGAGGCTAATTTGTGCCGACTTTTTGCTAATTTTGTTCAAGCCTCAAAATGAGGAGCTGTCACCCGTTCTGTGTAGCACTGATGACAGTGCCAATGATCCATGAAATAAGCTGCCGCTGGCTTTGTTCTGATAAGAATGAACAAATCTGCACAATGTACGGCTCCCAGAATCTCATTTTCATACTTGCATGCAGGCTAAAAGAAATAAGCTGTTTGCAGGCTTGATTAATCAGACATTTGAGGGTTTTTTGTCTCTTTGATCTCTTTCGTCTCCTAGGTAACTTGCTTGACATTAATGTTGAGCTTGAGTAAAGACAATCAGGAATTGTAGACCAAACTGATATAAAAATTAAAGACCTTAACACTTTAAGTACTCCAGTAATGGTTCCGCTTTACTTCAGAAAACATCTGTTTTCATTTAATTAAAGAACAAAAGAGAATGGCATCAATATTTTTCGTAGAGACCTGTTATTCCGTAAAAAGTTAAAGTATGATAATTGGTATTTTTAAAGAAATGCCTTGAAACTGTTCAAAAAGAAGCCAAGCTTCAGAGATTTGTTCCGAGGTAACTATTTCACATGAGCAGAAAATTCATGAAAAATAACGGAGAAGGAGTTTTCATTTATGCTGCATTAATCATCTAGAGCAAGATATTTGATGTGATTATTGGTCAACTTCAGAATGGAAAGGTCTTTGCCCTGTAGAAACTAAGTTGTTTTTCAAGTTTGTCTTAAAAATATATATATTGTGTTACAAGGATGAACCATTACATCAGCTTTACTACCCAATATGATTTACACACTTTAAACCTGTAAAATTGAAAGGAATTTGAAAAAAAAAAATGTCGCAGTGCGTTTGCTTGAGGTTATGCAGACGCTTTTACAAATCTTCCAAGTGGCTGTAAAGATGAATGCCTCAAGGGTCTAGCCAGGGCCCTGCTTTTCCAACCAGCTAAAGCCCTTATCTTAAATCCAAGCAAAGTACCATTAATCTTTTTGAAAGACCTTTTATGGCTTTTAATATATCCCAAATTAGAACATTTTACACCCTTGGTTCCTGAAATATGGTGATAAAAAGCCTTTAGAGCTTAATTTTCCTTACTGCGTGCTCTGACCAATTTGCAGTTCTTTGTGATAATGTTTAGACACCTTAATTAAAATGCAGCAAAATATTGGATGTTCTATATGGAAAATGCTGATACTTTGACTACACAAGAAATTGTTGTATATATTTTTATTCATGCTTTCTTACTTCTTTTAAGATTGTATTTTATTGAGTTATCTGATGACCTGATTTTTTTTTTAAATGTAAAACCCATTGACCAAGCTTTCATGGATTTCTTTGCGGCGAGGGGGGGAAGTGAAGATGTGAGTCTGGGTGTGGGTGGGAGCAGAAGACATTTAATCGGACTAAAATGTTTGTGTGTGTTTCTGTGCAACATATTTGTTTTCACGTCTTGAAAATTTGACTCTTCGTAGCCTAGAAATAACATTAATGCTGCAAAATGTTTCCCTGTTTACTCCCACAGACACTACAGAGGATATTATTATCCTGTTTTTCCTGTACTTTCCAAAGATGGAAGAACTCAAATGTCTTCCAAGAAATACAGATCAAAAGATTTTTCTGCAGCAGTTACGCAGAGCTACTTGTGTATATTTGGATATGTCTAAGTGTTCAATAGGCCACTGGAATATATTTTTGGAGGAGAAGCTGTTACTCATCACATAACAGAAGTTAATTTTTTAGTATGCTGAGGTAAAATACAGTTCAGAATTAAAATCATGGTTCTGCTGATTGACTTCAGCCATCAGATTGCTCTGTTTTTTGAGTTAATAATTAGTCCTGTTTCAATGAGCAAGTAAACATTTTTTTATATCTATTTTAGGTGAGTTTTCTTAAGCTTTTTTATACTGCAGATACGTTAATATAAATTGCTGCCCTTAATATTAAGTGACAATGCAAATAGGAGAATGTTACGTTCCGTTCTTTGAGATTTGGCAGTTCAGATGTTGGCACTGAATTACTGATTGTATAAAATGGGAGGGGGGGAAATGATGTAGCTAATAATGTAAAAGTTTTGAAATGTCTTGTCACGTGAACTGTTTTGTGCCAGCAGATGATTCCATAGGTACGTGTTTAGACCTTGCAACACATGAAAAACTTGTTTAGCATTATTTGTTTTGCACATTGTCCTTTTCAAATATTATGCTTATCTCTTAACTGGTTGTGCTGAGAGCCTCAAACAAAGCTTTCATGCGTGCAGACTCTCCAAGCCTTCTGCAGAAAGGTTCCTCTCTCGGTTCTTGAACCCCGAAAGGACCATAGGGTAGAACAGCTGGTAGTGATGCTGTTTGGCTTTGCTTTGTTAACAAAATGATCAGAGTGTCAGCAAACCTACAGGGCAGGTGTTAGATGGGAGAAGATGTCAGTGCAGCTACACCTGGAGATGCGTTCTTGAGTTCTCTCCTACTTTATGTGGATAAAACACCTCTTGGAGTAAACAAGGATTGCCTGTCTACATGCTGCAGCTTATTGAAGTGTATTACCATGACTAAAGGAACTTTGACCAAAGTGTTAAGGAGCGTTCTTTCACTTGGGTCTCACGTGCCTCTCTTGTTTGATGCTCCTGTGACACTTTGGGGAAATCTAGAATATTTAGTCAGAAACATGTTAGATAACTGCAGTAGCTTTCAGACTGGATAGGAGTAAAACCTTGTTTGTCCACATCAGTTTGTTGCAGTTTTGACTTAAATGAATTGCTTGTTTGTCTTGGGAGAAAAATGGTAACTTTTGTGACCAAATTTTTCCACAATTCATAATTTAGTTGCAAATAATGTCATGTCATGACAGCAATCCCAAAGTGTAACTACAGTGAACAAGTTACGAACGCTGATTTAAAAAAATAATCCGGTCATGGTTCACAGTACCTTCTTCCGTCTTTTTTGCTTTATTCTCCCCTCCCCTTTCACATACTCTAAGGTGAACTTAATTCTCACAATGTGAATAAGTTTATGAAAGTAAAGTAGTATTCACCTACAGCCTTTTATGACCTTATTTGAAAAGCATGTGTGTTATCACACTAATAATCTAAAAGCTGGTAATGTGAAGACTAAATGCCAGATGGACTCTAAGGACACTGCTTCATTTACTTCCTGGTCAGACTGGTTAAAACATGACTACTGGTACTACTGGAAAATGTGTGGGAGTAGCAGTTCTTCCTGTATAAAATTCTTTTGGGGTGATTTTTGTGTTGGTAAGACCTGATGCTGTTGTGTTAGCACAGCTCAGGTCATAGACTGGTCTTAATAATGGAGACTGCCTGTGTGTATGTATCTGTGTCTATATATTTATTTTAAAAACAAGCAAAGAAAAAGATCTAGTGGGCTATTGCCCTTTGCTTTTATTTGTGAAAAAGGAGGATTGGGTGAACAGGATTGTTTGCCCCAGGATCCCACTCTTTTGTGGGATTTCTCTCGAGACATTCTTGCTCATCTGATCTAATAGTACAGCATCGGCTTAATATTTGAAAGATATTTTAACTCTTACTGACTGTTGAGAAACAGTATCAGACCAAGTAATTTGCGAGGCTTAAATTTCATATGAGCCATTTGCATCTATTCAGTTTTCCTTTGTTCCTTTTTATGTCTTAGCTTGGTGTGAAAATTGCCAAAGCTGCTGCTTGCCGCAACTTTGTGAAAGCCAAGCAAGAAGCAGAGGCTGCCCAAGAAGCTCGAAAGAAAAAGAAGCTTGCTTGGGGGTAAGTCATTTGAGTATGGAATTAAACATTTGTGGTTTCGTTGGCAGTGAGTGTGTACAATACAATCACAGTTAAATGTTTTTCTTAGCTGAAATAAGCTTGTGCTAATCTTATTTGTTTAGTTTAACCTTGTTGGGTTTGGGGTTTTTTTATTTCTTTCTTTTATTTTTTGTGGGTTTTTTTAGTAGTGTTTCAGGCCGAGGCCTTAGCAGAATTAATGTATTGGTTATATGGCTACATTTGCCTTCATGTCTTTATTACAGTATTAAAAATAAGTTTTTGTTTTTGTTATTTAGAGTAGTATGGTTGAATAACTGAAACACATATGCTCATGATTCCTAATGTGGTTTTTTTTTCTTTTTTCAGATTTGAAGCCAAGAAAAGATGGGAAACAAAAAGCAACATGGGATACATGTAATCCATCCTGTTTTCCCTGGGAGTCAAATACCTGTTTTACTTGGAAGAATCTTTGTGGGCAACTTCGAAACACAAAAAAAATCCCAAAACAAAACCCAACTCATCAAATTCCTTGTGTTTCTCTTAAAGCTCTTAGACTGCAGCAGCTTGTTTTGGCTCTCCTACAGTGTAGCTAAAACGCTATCTAAACATCAATACTGTGTTCAATACAGTATTTTTCTCCAAACTGAAAATCTAAGATAAAGCGTTGTCGAATGCATTTGGAGTCTGGTGGAGAACTCTCTGAAGCTGGAATAAAATACTTGGTCCAAACGTGTTCTGTGCTTCACTGCCGTTATAGTGTGTGGGTATAAGGACTGAGTTTTCCTGGTAAGGTTATGCAGACTTAATGCAATAAGTACTACTTTTCTGGTTGCTTGCACATTGGGGTGGTGGGGGGCACTAAATAGAGAAAAACAAAATGGCCCTGCCTATTTAAAACTATTATTATTTATACATTTATGGGCTAAGTAAATGTAAATAGAAAAAAAATGGCTAGAAAAGTCCATCCTCCCTCTCCTGGGAGGCTCTGCTACTATTCATGTCTTGCTGCCGTATTTTTCAGGATATTTTAAATTCGCATTTTTCTTTCCTTCCCAAGAACTCAAGTTTTAGAAGTCCAAGTTTCTTCAAGCAGCTGAAATATAGAAACACATATGTTGAAAAATACCTGAAACATGAAATGAGCAGTTAGCTGCACCCAAGAAACAAATGCAGACTTTACTCCAAATGTTTTACAGATCCATTAGGATTTGAATGTTTGTAAGTTGATAACAAGAACTGACGATGTTTCTTCAGAATTGTTCTCAGTGAAAAGTAAGGACACATTCAGAGCTAATAACTTTCCTCCCTGAAGCTCTTGCATGTGTGTTTAGTCACCACAATGCCTGAATTGGTAATGTAAACGTCAGTTATTGTTAACCAAGATTAATATGTTTCAGGCCAAAGGTATGGTATTAGCGTAATGGTGATTTACTATGTAAGTACTTGAGGCTAAAACAACTTGCCAACAAATAGCAATTTCAAGTTTTGCGGCACCGGTTCGAAGAGTTTAGGTTTGTAGTCCAGTGTGGAATAGTGCATTTTTGTTCATTAGCCCTCCAGGATGTTTGATTCTTTCTCTTTTTTTCAGCAGAACATCGTATTTCTTTCACAAAGATGAGAGTTTGCAATATGGTAATCTGCAGTTAGCTGCAATTAGTTACGATGACAGAGTTGAATACAATTGCCAGGATTGTAAATCAGGGGCTAAACAGGTTTCTGCAGTATAACATCGTAAATCTCACACTATGGTTTACAGACTTTATTAGCTTTAGAAACTTTGGTGTGGAAGGAAGCAAATGATCTCTCTTTGTAAAGTGATTATAAAGGTAAATTGCGTGTTTACTCGTATAAACAAACAGGTTACACCATGAACCTTCATCAAGGTTTTTGAGTTTCAGATGTTCCTGTCCAAAACTTAGAGGCACTCTGTCCTTAATTTCTGTTATTTTTTTAAGCAGCTGTCAGGTGAGTGTTGGATACAGTTGACCAACTGACTCTACTTGTTATACACTGAAAAGCATAATGATGCTGATAATTTTGTGCTGAAAATATCGGTAGTATTGTTTAATATATGCTACTCTGAAATGTTTAACAGATGCTGTACATTTGTTTCCCTGTAGTAGTTGGTTTTAATAGTAGCAGTATTTATTAGTCAAATAAAGATCTTGATCTAATTACGAGGATTAGTGCAGTTTGATATGAAAACGTGCTGTAAAAGAAATCCAGCCCTCACAAACCAGCTATTGTCTGAGAACGTGCCACGTTGTATTTGTCACAGCAGTGCATACCCAGCCGCCTGGGATATTTTTCACGTAAAATAGCCAATTAGTTTTATATCAGGCTATTAATATTGTAACTATTTAGGAAGTATGCAGAATATTTGCATTTGGTTACTTGTGCCATGAATTTAGAAATTATCATATTCCAAGTATTTTGATCTACCTAAAGTATTTACTTAGAACATTAGTTAATTCCCAGAATTTATACCGTGTTCAAAAAAACCCTGATTAACAGAGAAAATACAAAATCCTAATGCAGCTTTAGATGGATCATCTGAATACATAATAAATAAATGAACACAACTGTATCTTTAATAAACATCCTCCTGAACTGCTGATCTGATTCTAAGATGTCTTGTATTCTTGACACTTTTTTTGGTAGTGTTTCTGCCTGCTGTGAATTTTGGCCAAACAAGTGAAACAGTGTTCTGAGATTTAACTTTTCCTGGCTTTTTTTAACAGTGTTAAAACAATCCAAATGCTTGTTTCAGTTAACTGAAACCTTTTTAATCAGCTTAAATATATAATCTCTTATACTGAACTAAATTTGAGATGTAGTAATAATTCTTTTAGCAAATGAAAAGTTTGTGCTATCTTCTTGTCTGACTGAAATTACGTGTCTAGAGGAATGTACTTAAATTATTAATTTCAGTGCAAATCTGCTGTGAAGCCAAATATCTTCTAGGAGCTGATTTGATGATATCTTGAGTTGGGTAGCAGTTAAAAGGCAGCCTTGCCTAAGTTCCTTTCTACCCCTGAGAAACCTTAGAAAACCTAACTGTGTGCACTAGTTTTGCCCCAATTTTTTTCTCTGCTGTAATTTCCTATTTTTTCCAGCTGCACTCATGGTAATTGTGGTAAATGAGCCACCAATCTGTATCTGCAGCCCAGAAGGCCAACCACATCCTGGGCTGCATCAAAAGAAGTGTGGACAGCAGGGCCAGGGAGGTGATCCTGCCCCTCTGCTCTGCTCTGGTCAGACCCCACCTGCAGTGCTGTGTCCAGTTCTGGAGTCCCCAACACACAAAGGACATTGAAGTGCTGGAGCGGGTCCAGAGGAGGCCACAAAGATGATCCAAGGGCTGGAGCAGCTCTGCTACAAAGACAGGCTCCAGGGGGACCTTATAGCGACCTTCCAGGACCTGAAAGGGGCCTATAAGAAATCTGGAGAAGAGCTGTTCACTAGGGCGTGTAGCGATAGGACAAGGAGTAATGGTTTTAAACTAGAAAAGGGCAGATTTAGGTTGGATATTAGGAAAAAGTTCTTCAGTATGAGGGTGGTAGATCACTGGCACAGGTTGCCCAGAGAGGTGGTGGAGGCCCCATCCCTGGAGATATTCAAGGTCTGGCTTGATGGGGCTGTGAGCAACCTGATCTGGTACCAATGACCCTGCTCACTGCAGGGTTTGGACTGGATGAGCTTTAAAGGTCCCTTCCAACCCAATACATTCTGTGATTCTACTCTCTTGGTATCCTGAATAGTCTTAAGTAATCTGAGGGAAAAATCTCATAGCTCTCCAAGTGCACTTCTCCATAGTAAACAGGAAAACTTACTTTGAAAAGGGGAATGCCCTCACAATTATCCATTGTTCTCTGGCCAAGGGCTCTATCTTGAGCTACCTGGTGTGATCCAAGCTAGCTCAGGTATGTGCCAGACTGTGCCAGTAAGGCCTATTAAACAAGTTTATTACTCAAGTACTGTAACACAACGAGGTGGTTGGATTGCTTTTGGTTTTACAATAGACTTGGTCAGTGTTGAGTTGACATTGGATTAATGGCTTTGTGCCATCAACTTTGTTTCACTAAGCAGTGTAGATGCTCCTCGTATGCTTCTCACTCACGTGGCTATCGTGCCTTTTCATTTCTGCTCCCATCTGGGAACAGTCCAGACTTGTATTCTTGCATACTGCCTTCTAAGGCCTACACAATCAAGAAATAAATTGTTTATTGACTCCTGTGATAAAATACAGCCAGTTTAAAGTCTGACAACAGCATACTAATACAATTACTAGTATTTCTTAATACCACATTCCTGAGCTCTTATACCAAAGAGTGGCTGCAGGGACAGTTTGACAGATAAAAACATATATATAGTTGTTAGAGTTTTAATAGTTTTTTGCCTGCAACCATAATCTGTATCATTATTTTTTCTTAGTTTAATTCTGTTGGACAAGTTTCAAAGATACATACAGTGTGTAATAAGCCTTTGCAACCTCTAATTTGTGAAGGAGTGTCTGTCCAGTTAATACTTGCTCATTGAAGCAAGGGGTTTTGAAATAGCTGAAGTACGAACTGTAATTACTGATGTCTGTTTCCTATTCACCTATGGCTTCTGGCGTTTGATCAAAAAATGTAATGTATTGCTTAATCTCAGAGCATTCCCCACTTTCAAAAATATTTACTTGATGAGAATTGTACAGCACTAAATGACCTCAGCAAAACCAGAGTAGATTTTTATTTGGCATTGATCATATGCAGTTAATCCACCAACAAGTATTTTTCCTGTTATTCTTGAATGTTGGTGGTTCAGATATGCATGTCTTTATAATGTACCTCTAGTGCAAGCTCAAAGCATTTTTAAACGTGTTACGTATATTACCAATAGGGTGGGGTTTTTACTTCACAAACAGGGTGGGTAAAAAGAGGAATACAAAGGTTGGGCGATTTCTGCGAGGGCAAACTGCAAGCTGGCAGCAAAGTGGCAAACGGAGTCTGCTGGTTTGTGTGCGGTTTGTCATGGCTGGAAATAACACGGAGAAAGAAGTCTTGAGCAAACGTGAGGCAGGTGCCTAAATCTCTGCAAGCCATTGGGAACTGGGTACCTCATCGCCACCCACCCTACTGAGAGGGTAAAAAATTGGAGTATTGAATGCAGATGTTCCAAGCATCACCAGAGTAAGTGAAAGCCCTAATTTCAGTCGAGAAAAGTTGTCATCTTTCATACTGAAAAACGCCTGTATTGCTTTGATCTGCCTCCAGCTGTGTTTATTATACCGTCAAATCTTGTCTTCCTGGTTTCCTTGGGACTGTCTGTAACAGAGTTGAGTTTTTCTCAGAATCAGACCTGGAATGTAACATTTTTCTCCTCAAAAAGCGTGAGTTAAATGCATACTAAGAAATGCAAAGCCAACTTTATCTA